CCCACATTTCAAAATGGTGGCGGGGGCACTTTAACTAAAAATGAGCTTTAGTTAAAACACCTCTGCCACCATTTTAAAGTGCAGGACACTGAATACATGTGGCTCTGGAGGCACTTTAATTAGAGTGGCTCTCAGAGCTGCTCTAGTTAAAACTTGCCCCCCACCCCAGAGCATGTGTATAGACGTCTATGCACATTTTCCTAGTACCTCACCATGGAGGTACTAGATTTAATGTGCATTCACTAAAGCGTGCTAATGCATGTGTAGATGTGCCTGCAGGTACTAGATTTAATGCACATTAACTAAAGCACATTAATGCATGTGTAGACTCCCAGTGTTGGCTTAAATCTGTTCCCACTGAACTGAGTCAGAATTTTTGTTACTGGCTGCAAGGCAGTGGATTCGTGAAAAAGTGGGCTCTGAAGTAGCTCCCCTGCCAGTTAGTAACCACCATGTTACCAAGGAAGATACAGTCTAACTTAGGAGGCCCTGGGACTTAATGGGGGATTTTTCTGTTTCTGGCCTCTTTTTTCACTATTTTTCTGCACAGGACAGTGTTGCGTCCTTGTTTGGGGTCAAACCCATGACAAGCGTTGGTCTGATCCAGCCCTCTGTCCAGCTCAAGCCGCAGTGTCATGCTTAGACGTCTCTTGTACATTCCCCAACACTGTTCAAGTTGGAGGCTAGTGGAAACTTGTCTGGGATTCAAAGTCTGGTAGGACTCAGAATAAAGGAAGTGCATAATCCCTTGGTGGGATCATATCTCTTATGTGGTGCATCATACAGAGGACAGGGCTCTTATAGCTCTCGGCTTTGGGACCTCACTTTTGAAAGATAATCAGCTCAGGAGATTGCTGCTCATTCCCTGGTTGATGCAGGGGCAGAGCTCTTGGGGCTCATATGGGAGATGAGAAGGCAAGAATCCTCCATTTTGCATCCGTACAGCCCCACTGGAGCAATAGCTCTGCTGCTTCTGCACAGTCATTCCCCGAGGACCCGGCATGTCCCCCATACCGCTGTGTTGGAGGGGCTGACTTGGAGGTTTTAAGTTGAGCCCTTGACTCTTTGAGTTGGGTTTCATAGGAGCAAGCCAAACCCGTTCAGAAAAGACCAGGCCCTTACGCTCTCCGAGGTGAGCTGTTGACACCAATTTCTGTCCTGCTCTTTACGCAATCATTTGGAAAAACAGATAATTCGGAGAGCGAAGCCCTGCTGAATCAGACGGGGAAGAGAACCTGAATAAACAAACATGTGCTGCAGATCAGTGTGAACATCTGTAGGGTTTATGTTGTTTTGGGAGCACATACCACATAGTTTTTAATTTCTTCTGCTTTTTTAGTTTGCCTCTTTCTCCCCCTGCCCCCCACCCATCTTTTCATAGAGTGTGCTAATAAAGGTTGGGGGTGGAGAGCACAGCTGGCCTGTGCATGCCATGCCACTGTTTAATTTCTAGCTCTGAAGAAGAGTAGTTTTATTGTATTCTAGAAGAGAATAAAGCCACATGCAAATTCCAGCCGTGGACATCTGTTTCCTCTTTATGTGAAAGAATTCTAGCAGTTTAAAGGGAATTCCAGTTTTGAAGGGCCTGGGTCGGTCTGTCTTTTCTTCTTTCTTTTTCCTTTTCTTTTTTTCTCTTTTTCTTCTTTCTTTTTTCCCTCTTTTTCTCTCTCTTTTTTCTTTTTCTCTTTCTTTTTTTTCTCCCTCCCCTTCTCACTCTCTCTCTCTGCCACACCTTGGACATTGTACCCCTGCTGTCTGGCTGCTGTGTCTCCTTCTGGAAGTGATTGGGTTGTGAATTAGCATCACAGCATCGGCCCGATAAGTTCCAAATTGCTGACGAACTCTGTTTTATTGCTAGGAAGACTATCAGCACTTCAGCATTGGCACTGACTCCTTCAGACACCCGTTGTTCTAACTTCCTCCTTGCATTTCTCTTAATTAAACGCTGCCTGCCGAACGCTTCCCTGCTTTTAGGCAGCACCCACAGTGCTTGAAATTTGATTTTTTTAAAACAGGTTTATTTTATTTTTGTCTTTTCCTCTGACTTTGCCATGTGATTGCTTTTTATTTTATTTTAATGGGAGCCTTTAGAACTTCTGGCTTTAAACATCCCATTTGTGTAAATCCACCTAACTCAGGAAAATTAAGCAACAGTAAAATCAGCAATAAAAATGTGCGCCATTTGTTGCAATAAATTGGATATTGGCTGTTAAAGAATGCAGGGCCCAGAGAAACTGTCAGTGTTGTTAATCTGTAAAACATTTTAGAATAATAATTCACAGCTGTCCCAGAGCATTTTTTTTGAATCTGTGTAAGATTTAACTCTATTGAGCAAACAATGGGGCAGTTATATCACATCCAGCCAGGCATGAGGAGGCAACTGGTCTTCTCTGTCTACTTCATGCAGACGTCAAATGGGAGACTGGTAGATCTAGCCAGCGCTTCCCACATGTGTGGACCACATTTCCATTGTTGCCTTAGCCTATTTCAGGCACAAGTATCATTACCCAGCGGGGCGCGATTCAATTCTCTATTCTATTTCTGAAAGTTTTTGGTTTTTTTTGAAGAAAGATAACACATGGACTCAAATTAAAAAATGTCATAAACTTTCAAATGGAGGAGAAGCATCTCTGGCATGAGGGGTTTTATACCCTTGGTTCATAGCCTGGCTGTAAAAGGGGTGGTGACAAAGATAGCCAATTTTTCATCGCTCCATGAATTACCCTTGTAAAGAAACGTCTCTGGATACAGTCATCGTGTGGGGTGTGCTGACTCTATTTCTCTTTAACGGGCACGTTGCTGAACAGATCAGACCAGGATGTAACGTATTTAAAAAAAAAAAAAAAATTGAAGCTTAAAATTCAACTAAGACATGACTTATGAGTATTTCGGCCCAAATCCTGCAATCCTCTTGGCTGTACAAACACCTCTGCATAACCAGAACGATAAGTTATTGCCCCTCCCCAGCTGGTTTGCAAACCCACATGTTGCAGCATCTTGTGAGGTGCACGAGGAATTGAAATGTGATGATTAAACATCCGTATCTCCTTCCACTGTCTCTAGAGAGTAGGATGCAGAAAGTAAACAGCCAGCCCAAATGGTGAAAATCAAATTGAAACTTTAGACCTGTTTCCACTGTGATTTGAAATGCTTCTGACTGGCAACAGAGATAAGAAGGCTTTATTTGGAAAGCATCTTTAACGTCTATATATTTTTGCCACATCAAGTGCAATGGGAAGACCTTCTGAAGGCCGCGTATGCTGGGGAACCCCGTTTGGTTAGATATAAGCGGAGCATAGAGGATTTCCTTTTCTCTCTTTAAGAAAACTGAAGGCATGGCAGCAGCTTTTCTTGGGAGGTTATGTTGCTTTCCATTTTGCAGTGCAAAGAAACCGTGCTCTTTAACTCCCGCTGAACAGTGATGAAGCAGCAAGGGGATATAGATTTTCTCATAAATATATTACTCTGCGTTACTGTCAAGTAACTGGACTTTTTTCACCCAATATCGAACAAGAAATTGAATTGCAGCGCTAGAATTTCAGGGGCCCGATAACCAAGAACCGTGTTTGACCTTTCTGGCAGGGCTTTGAGATGCCACCTGGGATACTGCTCATCGTTCAAGATGACAAACTTCCTCTGAGATTTCAGTTTGTCAGCTCAATGTACAGCAGTGACATTGATTTCTTCTCACTGCCGTTTCCTGCCTGAATAGATAACAAATTTTCTGTGGCAGGTGTCTGTCAAGCTTAGTTTTGCCTGGGAGATGAACTGATTCATCTCATTTATTAATCATTAGTAGCCACACAATGAACCAGGCGGTTCTTTAACTCTCGGGATGTTGGATAAATGTAACGTTTTCTTTGGACCCGTTCAGATGTAGATTTGAATTTAGATTTAATAAGACTTAGACACACACAAAACCAATGTTTCTAATATACTGATAACTTCAGTTGCACCGGATCTGACATACATCGCAGTGTACAATTTAAAAGGTCTGCTACTGTCCTGTTGAATGCTGGGAGCTTCTACAAACTGGGGCTTATCACTGTATCAGTTGCGGGACTGACACTGTGGGTTTTTTGTGCTCCTTCACCTGTCTGGGTTTTACCTTTCTTGTTGCGTGTCCTATACTTAAATAGAAAACTCTTGGGACAGGACTCCTATAAAGTGAGTCCTGTTCTCACTTTATAGGGCCCTGGTCTATGATGATGTCTGATAGCAGCTACTACAACATAGATAGGAAATAGGAGAACAGATGTACGTGGTCCAAGTTGGATTGCACCTGCACTATAGGTGATGTGCAAGAGGAGAACCAAGATTTCCCTCCTCTTAATCTGGGCTGGATTTACAGTGTTGGCAGGTATTCTCAAGTCATTTCTCCATTAAACTCATCTGTTCCAAAGTCATCAGGAGATCATTAATTTTGAAGCCTCCCACTGCTGTTTTCCATGCATCCCATTTGGAGCAGAACTGAGCTTTCAGATAAACTCTTGTGACAGTGTATGTCACCCAGCAGTGCCTTCCCAGGCTGTGCTTGTGGCCTTAGAGGTGCATTGCTTCACATACTCACAGAAATTTAGGGCTGGAAGGGACCTTGCGAGATCATTGGGTCCAGCCCCCCTGTTCTGGGCAGGAAAGACTGCTGGGGTCAAATAACCCCAGCAAGGTGAGCATCTAAGGTGTGCTTGAGCCAGCCTGGTGGCCTCTTTAGTGGCGAGTCCTACCGAGAAGTTCCCTGTACTAGATCATACCATTTATTACTTTTCCCGGCCAACCAGGTAACGATACATTAACATCTCAGCAGGGCATGCGATAAATGAAGTAAAAAGTGCTTTCGTGAAACCCATTCTCCAACAACAGTGTGCGTAAAGTCATCTGTAAAGATTTATAAATGTAATAAGCTGCAGTTCACGGAGCATTCCTAATTTAGCTTGCCAAGGAAAATGCCAACCCAATTTGCTTCTGAAATATTTTTTTTTCTTTTTCTTTTCTCCATGCAGATTCCATTCTCTCTGGTGCAGTTTCCCATTTGGGAGTCTTTAAAGGTAAGATACGTTGAAGATAAATTAACACCCCCCTCCCCATAGACTGGGCTGTCACGTGGATGTACCCATCAAAGCTCATAAAGGCTACTTGCTGGAACACCTGGGAAATGCCAGTGACTGTAGCATTGATGTCTGTTGTGCAAAGAGATGCTAGTACCGTGTGCCGAAAATTAAGACCGTTTTATTTGCTGTCCGAATGAGGGATAGCAATAGAAGTAGTCTGGGAACCATCAAGCTTGTCTAAAAGTCGATACAAGTAGGAAACTTGGAACAGCGCAAAGAGGACTAAGTCTATTCTCCCATGTAAGAGGCCTTCTCATTCATGGCAAAGAGGTATTCCCATCGGCTTTGTACTGTCCAGTAGAAAGGCTCCTCTAGAGAAGGTGTATAACAGGCGATACTTTGAGAGGGAAGTCCTTCTGCATAATGCACACTTTTATGAATTTATCCCAAGCAGTTGATCACTTTTTTTTTAGGTCCTGAGAAATTCCTGGCCATCCTACAAGCCATGAACTTAGAGTTCATGAGCCTGGATTCTGCCCCCAGCTCTGCTTGCAAAACCGTGGCAAGTTGAGTGGCTTCTCTGGGCCTTCTTTTGGTTCCCAGCTCAGATGGCTGTGGGGGAATTTAATGTTCACAAAGTGCTTCTGAGGTCCTGGGTTGTGAGAGAGAATAGAAATATAAAGCGCTATTGCAAACATTTAAAATGTTTCAGGCAGCTCTTTGTATTTATACGAGGCAGAAGGAGAGTGGATGTTGGATGTATATATTTTTTTTTGAAAGAAGAGGGGCTTCTGGAATTGGCTGGGCTGACAACAGAAAGCATAGCAACAGGATAGCTAGTTTCTCCCATCTTGACTCACAAATGTGCACAGACCTTGGCCTGATGGCAGCACTTCAAGACCAGATCCCTAGTCCAGGTTTGAAACCAACACTAACCCCTGAACTCTGTCCTAAGCGATGGTTAGTGCTTGTTGTTCCAGTGGGTTTTGGTATCTTGAGCATTTACTCACTTGGCACTTGGTGGAGGCCACAGAATAATTTTCCATTAACCGCTGGACAGCTGTCAGATGCTACTGATTTTCATTTATAACCAGCCAGGGCTTGGTTCAAACCAGTGAGCTATAAAAATGCATGCTCCATTATCAGTTCTTTAACCCATCCTGTCCTTCGAAGGCCGAAGGAGGTGAGTTTTGCACACTCTGAAATAATACGGAGCTAGTAAGGGGGGGAAAAAGCCTATTGACTCTGATCCCCAAGTCATTCTTACTGCTGGGATTCCCACAGGGATTGGGACATTTTTAAAGTCATGCACAGCATTTCAGGTAGAGCTAAGCGATCAAAAGCCCATCTTTTAACCATTTACAACCCGGGAAGAGCATGTGGAAGACCCCCACAAGTGCCCCACTGGGACTGCCCTTGGCAGCCACAGTCCAAATACAGATCTTCCTGAGCAAGAGGACGCCACAGCCCAACTCCCTTGCCCCAAAATTTCACCAGAAGCTATTGGATGTCCCTTTGGGAATCCAGAGAAGTTGTTGACCACCAGGATTGTCATCTTTTGAATGGACGATCATCCAGATCCATTGCTAGTCCTGCGCTAGGTGCAAGAAAGGAGCCTAGCTACAGGGTGAGTCCGCAGGTGTGCAAGGTAGGAGCGAAAGACTGAGAAGGCGTATAACAACCAGCTGCCTTGGCCTGAGCGCTGTGGGCATTGCAGCATAGTGTGCTTATCACCAAGGATCCTGGTTTTCGCTGATTTTAAAACATCCACAATTTTCAGATATAAAAACATAAACCCAAATCCACGTTTTTCCATGATTAAAAGGAAACACACCACTAATTTCTCTCTCTCTCTCTGTAGGCATTGGCAGTACTACAAGTACATTCATGAGATCTCCATTCAGGGAGTTGTCTGTCTGTCTGTCTGTCTGTCTGTCTGTCTGTCTGTCTGTCTGTCTGTCTGTCTATTGATATAGATATGAGTGGTGTTTCCTTTTAATCATGGAAAAATGTGGATTTGGGCTTACCTATTTTAATCTGAAAATTGGGGATTTTTTTTAAACCAGAGAAAACCAGGATCCTTGCTTATCACCCTACTTCCAGAGCCTGCTATCCCATGGCCCAGGGTGACTCCAATACCTTATTAGGAATCTGGTTTTATGCCAGCGCGTATGAAATGTTCTCTGTCTGCTCTTCTACAGCAGAATCGGCGTGACCTAGGAATCGCTGGTGCAGCAGCATTTTATTTTCCAGAAATTAAGCCTGTCATTAAAAAAAAAAAAAAAAAAAACCACAACCCCCCCCCCAACCACCATAGGGGAGGGGCTTTGTTCTCTCCAAAACCACAAAAAGCAGGATCATGATGTAGCTGTTCCCAGAACGTAAAGCTGTTTCAACTAATGTTCACGTGGCTATGGCAGTAAAAATATATTGTTTAGAAGGCAAGCTTTAAAAGAGACAGCTTGACCTGAGCTGGCTAAATAAGCGAGCCATTTAGTATTAGATGGCATGTTTAATCTCAGTGGCTTGGTACCTGTGTCCAGCCAAAGTGGACTGTAACCCATTTGAGTACAGAGTATGGGCGCCTAGCGTAGGGCTCCTGCAGCCGGTCTTGCATGCTACAGCCACTTGGGTTTCACGAGAGCTCGCTGTTTGTCACTCGAAAGCCACAGCAGTGAAAGCAGGAGCCCTTTACAGAACTCTTAAAAAATCCCTGACAGAACAAAAAAGGAGGGGAGGGAAAAAAGCTCTGGCCCCATCAGCTATGAGAACATGGCAAGCAGCCGCATGAGCAGGATGACTCAATGGCAGATCTTCCCACTGGGTCTTCGAAGGGAACGTGGGGAGACAGGAGAGTAAAGGCCATGTGAGAGAGACAGCACAAAGCAGCAGCACAGGAGCCTTTATCTCTTGACTAGATACCGTGGATGGGATTGTCCTGTGCTGCATTTAACACAGGTGCTTGTGACAGGGGATGAAACACCCTAAGTAAAAGGACCGATAAGCGTATGTTGTATAGAAAGGGTCAACTCATTACTGCAGGCAAGTGACTCAGACGCTGCGGCTGGATAGCGTTACCGCCCATAATAAAACGTGCACTTGTATAAACAGATAACCGGAGGGTTCAGCCTCCTGCGCCTCCGCATGAGCTAATCGCTGCAGGGATCGTGCAAATACATTCCCTTGCAAAGCACACTGGGATGGGTGCTATGCTGGGGAGCAGGGGTTAGTCTCCCTCGAGACATCAGGTGTCGGTCACAGCCCGCAGCAGGAGAGAAAACACGTGTTCCTGTAATCCATTCTGCATCTGCCTTGCCCCAAGCAGCCATACGCTAGTCTGTTCCTTGCCATTTGTTCTGCAGCCTGGGTTTCAGCTGTTACGAGCACGTCTGCAAATACAGAGAGGCCACCCTGCATCATGGACGCTGACATACCGCAGCACTGGAATGGCAAGGGGATTAGAGTGCCAGCGGGGAATATTGTGCACATACTATGAAGTCCCTTACAAAGCAGGCACTAACCAAGCGGGTATTGAGATGACTGGCAAGAGGTACAGATTTAGTGCTCAAAGCACAAAATGCTTTGTCTGTGGCTTGCATTGATGCAGCTATTGCATCCAGGCTGGAACTAGTTGGTTAACAGACCTTTCTCTTCAGCCTGAGCGTCTGAAAAAGTAGTAAAAGAAAATCCAGGGACTTTTTAAAATCCACTCTTTATATTGGCAGAGACACGTTGCCTGGTTTTATAGTGCAGGAAGCCCAGTCCTATTATTTATGTTTAACACCTCCAGCCCCTTCCTCTCCCCCAGATATGGAGGAGAGCGTGATGGTTTTGGCTGCTCATTGAATTAAAAAAAAAATAAAAAAGGGAGGTGCATGAACTTGGCGTTGAGGCTTTTAGCGGGAATCCCAACATGGGTCGCTGTAAGTGGCACAAGCCCCTGCAGTGCAAAGGGGCAGGGTGACCTGGCACAAGCACTTGAGCTGATGCTGCTGTGACAGCTTGGCTCGAGGAGATGGGCATTCAAGTAGGCCAGTCTCGGGCCATTGAGCACCAGCGGAGGTACCAGGATGGGTTTTCTAAAAGTGGTTTTGGAATTGTGTCAGAGCTGGTCCCATGGGCTGTGCATCAGCATTTCCAGCAGGGAAACTCCCCTGGGCTGTGCACCGACATTTCTAACTTCACAACTCTTTCAGCTGGGAATCCCAAATGGCAGGAACTCATTTTTTTGAGCCTTGATTGAGTCACAGTGAGTCCAGTCAGTCTTTCTCTTCTGTGTCCCACGAGTTGGGCAGATGGCCATGAATTGCCTGCTCACTTTTGCCATTGGGGTTGGACCTGATGATCTGTTTAGGTCCCTTCCAACCCGAAGTACTATGATACTAAGTACTGTGATACACTCCGTGGTTCTCATCTGTACTTATTTTTGTTCCACACACCGATCATCTCAGCCATTCATAAAATGCGACACACATCTGCCACGGTACATCTTCAACTCCCACCATTTTTATTTTTTGGAAAGCCTCATCGGCAGGAATCGCAGCTGTTCTGACTTCTGTGTAGAAATTTGCAGAAATTTAAGGTACCTGTTCAGTGAAAAAAAAGCACATGGAGCTGAAAGTGAGGATGCATGACCTCTGGCTTGGAGAGTGACAGCATCCTTTCCTTCGAGAGGTCTGTGTGGGATTGGCAGCAAAGTCTTAACGAGCAGCTCCATGGATGGATATCCCTGGGACAGCCGGGATCTCTGTGGAATGAACCTTTCTCTTGCAGGAAACAAGACTCTCGCCTCTTGATTTTATCTCCCTGCATGTTGGCTGCACTTCAGAACCAGCAAGAATTACTCTGGCACCGATATAAATGGGGAAGGATCTCCACAGAGCCTTGCTGGTGTATTGTGTGTCTGAACACCACCGCCCCCACCATCCCTACCTGGTGTTTCATGCGGAGGGAACAGGCAGGCAGGAATGGGGGAGAAGGCAAGTCCCATTTCAGTG